AAGGTGGAGGTTTCAGTGAGCTGAGATCACGCCACTGCACTCCAGCCTGTGCAACAAGAGCAAGACTCCATCTCAGAAAAAAAAAAGAAAAGAAATGTAATGATTATTGGGCCTCAGAAAATGAGACCCCAGAGTGTGGCACTCTGGCATGTTGAATACTTGGAACTGAAGAAAAGAGGGTCAGAAGATCTTTCTGACCTTCTCCTGCCTTTCTTTCTCCTGCTCCCCTTTCTTCCCCACAGCAAGCCATAGAAACTAGAATTCCTCTTTCTCAAAATGGGTCAGAGAAACTACAGCCACTGCTGGGCACGGTGGCTCACACCTGTAATCCCAGCACTTTGGGAGCCCAAGGCAGGTGGATCACTTAAGGCCAGGAGTTTGAGACCAGCCTGGCCAACATGGCAAAACCTCATCTCTATTAAAAATACAAAAATTAGTTGGAAGTGGTGGCACATGCCGGTAATCCCAGCTACTTGGGTGGCTGAGGCACAAGAATCACTTGAACCTGGGAGGTAGAGGTTGCAGTGAGCCAAGATGCACCACTGCACTCCAGCCTGGGTGACAGAGCAAGACTCTGTCTCAGAAACAAAAAAGAAACTAGAGCCCCTTTGCCCTCAAAGCCAGTCATAAAATCTAGAAATATTACTCTAATCTTGCCGTACGTTTCTGTAGGAGCCGGCCATAGTGGCTCTCAAGACTTTTGTTCTAGAGTGGCCCTGCACCACATCCTGGAGGAAGGAATACCGCACACAGAGGCCAAGAAGAATTTGAACAGACACATCTTGCCAGGTTTCTCCTCTCTATTACTGTTGGGTTGGTCATATCCTTTTTGCCCAATTGCATTTCTGCCATACAAGCTCTGCATCAAACCTAAACATCAAAATAGGCAACTTTTCCTGGGTCTTTGAGTCTTTGTTTCTGAAGGCTCCCATGTCATGTAAAACTGATTAAATAAATCTGTTATGCTTTCCTTGTGTTAATCTGCTCTTTTGTTATACAAGTGTCAGCCATGACTCCTGATGGACGAGGAAAGGTATCACATCTTTCCACCCCTACATGGTGCATGTTTAAAATTCTTCCATAAAAGCAAACTTCAGTGGCACACTATTCTCCCCTCTTCTTATAATTAAGACAAATATAATTTGCAGTATCCATCTTCACTGCCACTTTTTACTGTCAATGGAAGCACAGCATAATGTTTCCAAGATTCAATCTTCAATTTACGTTGTTGCAATTACTACATACTTAATTACAACTTCACATTACATACTAGCTATCTATTGCTGTGTCACAAATTACTGCAAGATTTAGGAGCTTAAAACAACAACAGATAAGTAATAAGATAAATATCTCACAGTTCTTGTGGTTCAGGAATTTAGGAGTCTTAGCTGGGTGATTCTGGATTAGATTATCTCATGAAGTTGCAGTTGTCTTAAGGTTTTTTTCTCTAGGCTTGGCTGGTGTCAAAGTATCTACTTCTAAGTTAACTTACATGGCTGTTGGCAACAGATCTCAGTTTCTTGCTGGCTACTGGCTGAAAGCCTGAGTTACTTGCCATACCCACAATATAGCAGCTGGTTTCTCCCAACCAAATGATCTGAGAAAGAGAGACAGCAAAGAGGAAGCCACAATGCCTTTATACAGCTTAATCTTGTAAGTGACATGCATCACTGCTACCACATTATAGTCCTTAGAAGTAAGGCACTGAAGAGTTTAAGAGCAGAGCTCAGATGCAAGGAAATTGAAGGCTAGAAGCCTAGGAAGAGATAAATTATTGGTGGGAATGACTGTGGGCATTTAGGAATTAGGGTGATGGAGGGTGGTTTCAGGAAGATTTGGAGTTATATTCATCAAGCCCTGAAATCTTGTGAAAGTATCAGATCTCTTTCTTATTGCACCTCATTATTAACTCTTGACTCATTATTTAAAAGGGTGCTGTAACACCCTTTTAAATAATATGGAATAATATTAACATACTTATGATTGGGTTCTATTTTATTTTTTAGAAATGGGGTCTCACTATGTTACTCAGGGTGGACTTGAACTTGGGCTCAAGCAATCATGTCTCAGTCTCCCGAACAGTTAGGACTACAGGCCTACACCACTACACCCGGCTTGGATTATATTTTAAAACAGGGTTTCTCAACCTCAGCACTAGTGACACTTTTGGCCAGATAGTTTTTTGTTCTGGGGAACTGTCCTGTGCATTATATGATGTTTAGTAGCATCTGGGCTCTACTCACTAGTCATCAGTAGCACCACCCCCAACCCCTGAGCCTCAGTGGTAAAAAACATAAATGTCTCCAGATATTGCCACATATTGTTGAGCACCATTGGTCTAAGCAATAATCACTGCAACTTAATCACCAGCAAGGTGCCAGGCATATTATTATCATTCTCTTGTTTTATCCCCAAACAACTTAAGAGGTAGGTTTTATCGTCCCCGTTTTAGAGGACTATGTTGAGGCTCCAGGGCCCCGAAGAACTAAATGATTTGCTCAAGATACCACAGCTAATTAAAGCTAGCGCATGGAATTGAAACAGCATGGAGCTGAAACGAAGTTTCCCCAGATGACTGAAATACAAAAAAGTGGACCGCTATGGATTTACGGCAAATGTGTTACCATTGAATTCATCTGTATCGTATCTGGTTTCCCTGAGGACCATACGTAACACCATTGCTTATAATGCATCACTGGATTTTTACTTTCTATAGGGTAAAATCAAACCTTCATTAAAGACCATCAACCTACTAGTCTAATCAGAATCTGAATCAAGTTTCTCCGCCTGGGTGCATTGTGTGCTAAATACCCCCAAAATGGAATCCTAATCCTAACATGTGTACCTGCTGTTATTTTTCCCTTGCTTTTTTTTTTTCCCACATTCAAGGGGAGGGGAATTAACTTCCACCTTTTGAAGGGAGGAGTATACTTTCTGACCACAAATTATTTCTATTTATTCCATGCAAAACACATTCCCTTTCTCCCGAGAACCCCAAAAGTCTCATCCCTTTAGAAAAGCAGCTTGAAATCTAGAATGTTAGCATATAAATTACATCCAGGTGTGGATGAGATTCCTTGGATGCAGTTCCTTAAAGTTCTTCAAGTACAGTTCCTCACAGTCTGAAGACCTGTGAACTAAAGGCAATCTGCCT